AAAAGCCTGCTCGTTGTCCTTGGGTTTTTGCTCTATGAACCAGAAGCTACTTATTTATTCTTGCAGTCCAGAGCCCATATCTTTACATATAATTATTTGCATTTGAGAGTTGCGCTGATTCTTTTCCCACCATTACATGGATTTCAGTGTGTTCTACATCTATGAAGACATCTTGCTGGCCCTTAGCACTTTTTAACTGAAATTTAAAGCACAAACCATAATATTCCATTTTAGGGCAATCATACCACTAACCACATTCAGGACATTTTTAGCATCCTAAAAGCAAACCCAGTAAGTGTTTTCAGTCATCCTCCATTTCCTTCCCCTTTCTCCTAGGAACCACTGGTCTTTGCTGTGACATTATTTGCCCCGCGCTCGGCCTCGCCCGCAAGAACCACGCGGGACACTTAGGATTCTTCTGCAGTAAAGCTTTATGCGTCTTGAGAGGGAGAGCATAAGCTTACATGGCGGAGACCCAGAATGAGGGAAACCCAGCCCTTATAAAGGAAACAGTCCTCGCTTCTGACGTGTCACTCTTGGATTGGTCCACTGCCCATTATCCCAGATGATGCCTCGGGAGTAGGCAGGGACGCAGCAGTAGAGAGTTACCAAGCACGTGCGTTGGGATTAAAGGCGTGTGCTACATCACCTTGAACTCACAGAGATCTGCCTGTCTCTGCTTCCCAGGCATTGGGACCAAAGGCGTGTACTACCACGCCTTGAGGTCACAGAGGTCAATCTGCCTCTGCCGCCCAGGCTTCAGGACTAAAGGCGTGTACCGCCACACCTTGGGGTCACAGAGGTCAATCTCTACCTTTGTTCCTAGAAGCAATGGAGAATGTGGTCCGGCCCTCCACAATTATTGATACGGGTATTCTGGAGATTTCATGTCAGTAAAATTATATAACATGTGTCTTTATCACTGGCTTATTTTGACTTGCATAATGTCTTGAAGGGTCATCCATTTTGTAGTATGCATCATAATCTCACAGCTGAGGGCACAGCTCAGGGATGAAGCATGTGTCTGGCATGGGTAAGGCCACAGGTTCAATTCCCAGCACTAAACATGCTCACCAAACAAAACAGGATGAACCAAAAACTTTAATTAATTATGGCTAAGCAAAATCCTGTTGTGTGTACTGTAAATAGAGACTGTGCTTCCTCTTCCCAGCTGCCCAGACCCGAATAGTCACACAGAAATTATATTAATTACAACACTGTTTAGGTGATAGCTCAGATGCATTTCTAGCTAGCTCTTATATCTTAAATTAACCCATTTCTATTAGTCTATATATTGCCATGTGACTGTGGCATTACCTCATTTTCTACATGTCTTGTTTCCTTTGTGGCTTGCTGATGTCCCCTTTGCTCTGTCTACTCTCCATAGATAGATAGATAGATAGATAGATAGATAGATAGATAGATAGATAGATAGATAGATAGATGATAGATAGATATAGATATTTGTTTGGTTTTCCTGCCTGGCTTTACTCTGCTAAGCTACTGTGCAAAACAGTTTTATTCATCAACCAATAAAAGCAACACATATACAGAAAGGCATCCCACATCAGTGGGATTCTGTGCTAGTTTTTGTCATCATAGCGAAGCAGCTGGGGTAGTCAACTTCTGCAAGAGAAAGGTTTGTTTCGTGGTTATGTCGATTCTAATAAGTAATCTATTGGCCAGGTTGCTTTGGGCCTGTGACGCAACATCCAGGGAGTTCATGGCAGAGCACGATCACTCACCTCACAGGCTTTTTTAGGTGTGAACTGTGCACCCCAAAGGCCCATGTGACAAAAGCTTGCTTGGTCTCTAACTTGGGACACTACTGCAAGGTGGCAGAACCTTTAGAAGGAAGGTCTGGCAGGAAGTGTTTGGATCATCAGAGGCCTGACTTCAAAGGAGACATTGGAGATATGTCCTTAGTCATTCTCCCTGCCCCCCACTTGAGTGTGTGTGTGTGTGTGTGTGTGTGTATGTGTGCGCAGGTGTGCATGTGCCTGCCTGCCTGCCTGCCTGTCTATCTTTCCAAATGCTACTGGAGGAACAGCTTTTTCTGTTCTCTCCCACCATGATCTACTCTGTTACCGCAGACTCAAAGACGTAGAACATCTGAGACTATGAGCCAAAATAATCTTTCCTTCCTTATAAGAACAGTCTCACACTGGGCAGTGGTGGCGCACGCCTTTAATACCAGCACTCAAGAGGCAAAGGCAGGCGGACCTCTGAGTTCGAGGCCAGGCTGGTCTAGAGAGTTCTAGGGTAGCATTGCTGTTATGTAGAGAAACCCTGTCTTGGGGGAAAGGGAGAATACTTTTAAGTATTTACCACAGCAATGCATGCCTGGCTGCCAAAACCTCCAGGATCACTCAGAGAAATAAGCCTTTGATATGGGCCTTAGGTGATGTCTGCCCTATGAACTATAGTGTTTATCCACTTTTTTTCCCCTGTAGAACTGATTTAATTGCCTAAGAAGATTGTAGCTGTGAACATTCCATGTCCAAGTTTTTGTGTCAGTACAAGAATTTAGTTGTCTTGGCTATATAGCTAGGAAGAGAATTGCTGAATCCTGTTCAACTCTGTTAAATCTGTTTAATTCTCAGAAAAGCTGTCAGACCGTTCCACAACATTTGCACCGCTTCATTCACCACTGTGCGGGCATTTCATATTCTTTCTTGGATTACCCAAGTCCTTGCCAAAAGTTTCCAGTGTTTTTTGTTTCTAGCCATTCTAGTGAATGTGACTTCATAATTTTCTTCTTCCTTCCTTTCTTTCGAGTCAGGCCTTCATGTAGCTTCATGGGGTGCTGGGGTTCTAGTTCATTGTCTTGTGAATGCTAGGCACATATGCCCCCAAATAAGCTACATTATTATTTCTCGGAAGCTGGACTGGATCTTCCTGTCTTAGCCTCCCAAATTCTGGTATTATAGTTTTGTGCTGCTATGCTTGATAATAACCATGTATGGCATTTACATGATTCCAAAGTGAAAACCGTGTGCGTGTGTGTGAGAGAAAGGGGGGGTGTCTAGCTTTCATTCCTTTTCCTGCTTTCTTAATAGAACTAGAGTCATACGCCCAGGGATGGGACCACCTACAATGCTGGGCTCTCCCCCATTAATCATTAATAGAGAAAATGCCTTACAACTGTATTTTATGAAGGCATTTTCTCAGCTGAGGCTCCTTCTTCTCCAATGATTCTAGCTTGTGTCAAGTTGTCATAAAATAAGCCAGTATGCCCTATGTGTAATTTTTTTATTGAGTTTGTTACTTAGGTTCCATTTCTGTGAAGTGAAAACATTTTTGCTATTTTCCCATATATTTTTTTAACAAGACAAAACCTACACTGCGTCCCCTCTACTCTTTTCACTCATTATATATCCCAGAGTTCCACAACATTACACAAAGATTGCTCTTTTTCTCAGTGCAGCTGTACCGAGCTGCATTGTGTGGATGCAGATCCATGCAGCTTCAATGCGTGCATGGACCGTGATCAATTCAGTCTGTCCTCTGTGTGCAGACATGGAGGTTCAGGATACATTTGTTGCCTGGCTACATTGTGCCAGGCACTAGGAATAAAGGCAAGGCCAACTCTGGCTTCAGGAAGCTCAGCCAGAGATCTCTACAATAAGGAGCCTTCCTTGAGTCCAAGGGGACGCACGGATCCACTGAACACAAGGGGCACATGTTACCAAGAAGAAACGTCCCACACAGAATGAACACAATAACCTCTTAGTGACCAGCGTCATGCTGCACTTGGGCCTTTGTGTGGGAAGGTTCCTTTGGATGTGCTTAACAGTGATTGATCAGGAGTGCCACCAATTGGTCGATGTAGGAAAAGCCAACCGAAAGAGACCCTGAGTTAGGATTCTAATGACCAAATTTCCTCGGAAAGAAGAAAGTTAATGCTGGTGCTGTGGCAAAACCACAGGAGTGACATCTGTATGACCTTAATGCCAATTAGAGGCTGTCCTAAGCATTTACGTGTATTAAACTTAAAAATAAATTCTCCCAACAGTCCTAAGAAGTAGAAACTCTAAAAAAAATTTCTCCAATGCAGAAATTAAGACACAGAGATCTGAGCTATTGCACTTATGCAAAATGTCACACAGGAAAAAGGGGGGACAGCTAGGCCTCATAGATAGGGTAGTTACATACAGTGCACTGTGAAGTGCGGGCCAGGGAGCTCAAAGGATAGTGGGCTGGAGAAATGGCTCAGCCCTTAAACACTGGGCTCACAATCAAGATATAAGGGATGGCTCAGCAATTAAAGGCATGCCATGACTAACAACCTTCAAAAAGTCAAGTTCAGCGAACCAGACTTTCTCACTTCCCTAGGGACCAGGAACCCACGGTATGCCGTCTGCGTATGAACAGCCTTTCCCAGCTTCTACAGGGACTAGGTACACAGGCGATACACGGGTATGTCTGCGAACTAAACACTCATAGACACAACAATCTTAAAAGAAGTATAGTTAAAATAAGGCATGCTCTAAAGCATTCAAAACGAGTAGCTTAGCTTAAAATCCAGAACAAAACTAAGGATCCTCTAAAGTTCACGTCAGACGGGTAATGTGCCCACGTCGTAACAAGGCTTAATGGGCGGCACATATCACGCAGTAGCGTGAAACCCCAATCATCATGCTCATGAACCATGAAAGGATCAAGTTTCCTGCGTGCGAGAGGAACAGTCAAGTCAGTCCTACAGGTTTTACAGGGAGGGCGACTAACATAGTGCGGCTCTATTTAGTTTCTGAACACAAAATCTAGCACAATTAAAATCTACTGGGGAGATTTTGTGAGCATGCTCTTGTCTCTGCTCTAGAAAATAAAATCAGCAGCAAAATTATCGAACGGACGCTTAATTATGCAAATATATTCTTCATAGCTCCACCTTTGACAGCGTTCCCTCTCGGCCTGGCTGTTGCTTTCCGGCTGTAAGTCGTGACCGGAAGCGTTGCGGCTCCCCTGGCGGAAGTTACTTTTGCACTTTACGGCGACAACGAGCCCGGGGCCGGAAGTTGCTGAGTGTGGATTCTGTACCGGGAAAGCTGTAGGTCCTGGGGGCCTCGAAGGTGTCACGGCTCAGTAGTTTATCTTTAAAACTTACTTTTTTTGGTTCTCGGTCTTCAGAGGGATTAATTCCTCCACGTGTTAGGAGTTTGAGGCTCTTGCACTCTAGTCGTCTGTCTCTGGTTTCCGTGCCGTTCGTTGGGAGACTCCCAGCCCGGGGGCGATCTTCCCTCTGAGACTCTAGACCCCGTCCCCGGTGGGGGACCCAACCCACCCGGGAGCGAGCTGGAATGAAACTGGACGAGGCCTCCCCTCCCTCCGAGGGCTCTGCCCGCACCCTCGAACATGCCCTCTCCAAGATTCTTCACGGTCTTAGCCAGGCGCCAGGCCGGGGCCACGCCAGACCCGCCGTCCTGCACGACCTCAGTGCTTTAATCGAGGCCGCCGATGGGAACGAGTTATTTGCGGGGAGTGGGACTCGGGGGATGCCCGAGGTCCTGGGACAGGTGGCGAAGGCCCTGGAAAAGTTCGCAGCCCCGCCCCAGGAGAAGGCAGAGGGAGGCGACGGCAATTCCGAAGTGCCCGAGAAGGCAACCGAAGTCGGGTTACTGTTTCTCAAGCTGTTGGGGAAGGTGGAAACTACTGCTAAGAGTTCCCCGGTCTGCCCTGCGTGGAAGACGGGCCTCCGCCACTTGGCGGGACCCGTGTATGTTTTTGCCACTACACACAGACTGAAGCAGCCGTGGACCAGCACAAGGTCTCAGCAGGTGGCTGACGAGGTGCTGTCCTTACTGCTTCGGGTTACGAAGTGCAGTTCTGTGGCAGGATTCTTGTGCGGGGAAAATGAGGATGATCGAGGGAGATTTGCTGCGGTCTTGGGGCTTCTGAAACCCCGTTTGAATAAGTGAGTACTGCACCTTTCACTTTAAGCAGGCAGATAGAAATGTTGGCATAGTCGATCTCTTAAGGCCCAGAGCGGTTGTGACCTGCTAGAAATGAGGTAACCAGATAGAGGCAAACTCCAGATTAGAACCGTAGTCTTCTAACTCCATTTTTCTGCCTAGAACGACTGCCTTGGGAAGTTGGAAATTCTGTCCCATTTGTATGGAATCAAGTGTCTTATGCTAAGCACCAATCTTTCAGTTTGGATTTAAATATTGGGACCTCTGACTCTGATAACTGTTAATTATTAAATTAGGATGATTATTATATAAGGAACTAATAATTGAAATAAAGTGATGAAAATCAATTCACTATAAAGTGGACTGAATTGGATTGCTATTAGCTAAAGTACTTGCTCTGAATTTTGTCTTGCTACGTTTAGTTTTTTGTTTTGTTTTCAGCCAGGTTTTAATTTTGTTCATTTATTTATATTTTATTTATTCATTTTTGTGATAGAGTGTCACTATATAGTCCTGGCCGACCCGAAACTCTTCTATAGACCAGGCCAACATGGGACTGACAGATTGGTCTGCCTCTAATGTCTTTGTGTGTCATCACATCTATTCCAGGCAGGGTTTTTTTTTTTCCTTTTAAAAGGATTTTATTATTTTTAATTATGTGCCCTACAGGCGTGCCCCGCCATGCCTGCTGTGTGCTCTGCCTCGGATTGAGCCCAGGGCTTTGTGCGTGTTAGGCCCATTACTGCCTGAGCTAGAGCCCTAGTCTTCTGGCACCAGAATGCTGACACAAAATAAAATTGGCGCTAAAAGGCTTTGAAACTAGCGCCTCTTTCTTTCTTTCAGACATGCTTACTTTATAGCCTGTCTCTGAGCTCTTACATAGTTAGTCCACATTGGCCTCAACCTTGAGAGACCCTCCTGCCTCAGTTTCCTTCATGCTTAAGATTACAGAGGTGCAACACTGTGCACAGTTTTAGTGTTTCTTTTATTGTTTTGGCTAGGACTAGGTCAGGTAGTGTCCATGAATCTTGTTTTTATTATTTGTAACTCAAGGCAATATAGTTTATTATACAGTAATTATTTTGAGGAGGTTGAGGCAGATGTGCAGTCTCCTTTTATAAACTGAGTTGGTGCTCGTGTTCTGATTCGTTACTTGGACACTGTAATGATGAGACACCTTTCCTCTCCTCTCTCTTCTCAGCACATGGCACATCATTCACCAACATGACCACTGACCTAGAGGACTTTTACATAGCTGTAGTTATAAATGGGGCTACTTATTTGATAAGCTTATATTACCCAGAGTCTGGGCAGTTGCTAAATGTGTATAATGCAAGTAATTCAAATCATAAAATGTATTTGAAAAAACAAGTTGTGTAGGATATATAAATGTATATGTATAAATCTGTTAAAGACAAAAACAGAAACTCTTGTTAAGCTTAAATAGTTTCTTTGCTAATATTGTGTCATTTTACTTAGCGTGGTTTTCATGTGCCCTTGCAGGGAATCCTGGAAGAATAATCCTGCACTTAAACATGTTTTCTCCTGGACTCTGCAGCAGGTCACTCAGCCCTGGCTCAGCCAGCATCTGGAGAAGATACTTCCTCCGTCTTTGCTCATCTCAGATGACTATCAGACCGAGAATAAAGTGTTGGGTGTGCAGTGCCTCCATCACATTGTGATTAACGTGGTGAGCAGCCTCACTCCGGCCTGTACTGATTGGGCGGGCTGAGCTACTCATGGCTGTGCTTCCTTTCTCAGCTATTTTTCTCTGTTTATGTCTTATAAGTAGCTTTCTCTTCATGTTGTCATTTTATTCACTTATTTATGTTTTTTCTTCATATATATAATATATCTTTCTCATCCAACCTGGTAGAAATAGTATCTCACTGATAATATAATAACTAAATTGGCAATTTTAGAAGAGACAAAGTCATGCTTCATTATATAAATATATTATATATAAATATATATATATGATAATAGAAGCAAAGACAAACATGCTTATAGAAATTAACTGGTAGCTCTCAAGTTTGAAAAAAAAGCAGAACTCAAAAGGGATCATGTCAAAATGTACAGAGTGTTGCTGAAGGAGATGTTTGTACTGTGGCGCTCCTGAAATGCATGCAGAAAAGGGTGGTTTACTGAGTCTGCATATACCCATATCTAATTTAAAATTAGCCACATTTTGCCACTCTTGAGAAACCTTTAACTGAATAATTTGTGTGTTTGCAGCCTGCTGCTGATTTGCTGCAGTACAACAGAGCCCAGGTCCTTTACCACGCCCTTTTCAACCACTTGTACATGCCAGAGCACAACCTCATTCAGGTGTGTAAGATTTACTCCTAACCTCCTAGGTTCTGGGATGTGTCGAGGGTAGTATTGCAGTTTAGAGCTGTTGTCCCCTGGGAAAAGGAGGACACCTGAAAGCTGCTGCATCTCAGTGTTAAGAGGGCATCCACTCCCCTGAACATCTGCAGAACAGCCCAGCTTTTATCTTCATGAATGTCAACTATACGCCACTTGTGGGTAGATCTGTTTTTATTAATTAAATGTTCTTCCTCTGTGCTGGTCCATGTCAACAAATGGATTTGAAACCTCTTGTATGTAGATACTTCAGTGTCCTTCTCCAGCCAACAGCCACTAACTGATGGCTGTTACGTGTTTCTGGTAGGTTCAAGAATAAGTGATTCAGAGAGTGTTTCTAGCTTGAAACCCTTTGGAAGACTTTTATGTAGATATATGACTGCATACATCGATCCCGGTGTATGCATAATACAGCAATAGCTATATTACAAGAGATGTAATATGTGACCAGCAGCAATAGGCAACTAGCAAGGTTGAGGGTAGCTTTAAGGTGACTGTGGGAATGATGGGATAGATGTTAATGAAGGGTAAAAAGTAGTTTCTTAGGAGAGAGAACACTGTGAAGACAGAAGAAACAAGCTATAGAAAGTTATTAGTAGAGACATCTTGGTTTTCTTTGTGCTGGGGTTGAATCCCAGTTCTGATACATGCAAGGAAAGTGCTCTCTACTGAGCCTCCTCAACTTGTTGCTCTTGTTTTCTGTAACAGGGTCTGATTCTAGCTGGCCGGAAACCTGCACTGACCCTGGCTGCTAAGTGCTGGGATGGCAGATGGCAGGTGCACAGCACAGTGATCAGCAGCTCCTCCCTGCTTCTCTTCTGTGCTTTTTCTACCTATAATATTTTGAGTACTGGGAATCCACTTAATATCAGATCGAAAATTTATTAACATGGGATAGAAAGGAGATATTTTAAAATCATCAGAAACCTAGAAGAGCCAGAGTGCTAAAAGGGAATGCCTGGACATGATAACTTCAAATAAAAAAGTTTGGGCCATCGTGGATTCTGTGGAGCAGTCTGATGTAAAGTGCCCATGACTGTCATGGACCACTAAGTCTAAGGGACAATAGATCTAGATTCCCGGGTTAAGCAAGGCCTGAGCTCAGCCATTCTTTCCACTTCACAGATTAGTAAAGAACAGTTCTTGAGAGGAGGTTTGAAAATCTGCAGTAATATGTCTTTTAGAGTTCTGTGACATATCCTAGGGGCAGTAGATTAATGAAGACCTTAGAAGAGTCAGAAATGCTGTGAATGCAAATAAATGAACGCTGGTTCCTTTTCATTCTTTTCTCTAGGCTGTGCTCCTGTGCCTCCTAGATTTATTCCCTGTGCTAGAGAAAGCTCTGCACTGGAAGGGAGACGCAGCTCGAGCCACTGCCCACTGTCATGATGTACTACAGCTGATCCTCACCCACATGGAGCCAGAGCATCGCCTTCTCTTACGTAGGACGTATGCCAGAAACCTGCCCACTTTTGTGAAGAAGTAAGTGCCTGGGCTGCTCTGCTCACACACACCATGTTCAACTTCTTGGCATCTCATTTCCTCTTCTTTTTTTAGGTTGGGGATCCTAACTGTTCGGCACATGAAGAGGCTGGAGCAAGTTATCATTGGTTATCTGGAGGTTTATGACGGACCAGAAGAAGAAACCAGGTTGAAGATACTGGAAACCCTGAAACTTGTCTTGCAGTATACTTGGCCCAGGTAAAGCATCCAGAAATATTGCATGTGCGTGTCCGTGTGTGTGTATACATATACATATATACACATGCATATATATCCCACAGTGCATATTGTTTTCCACCTTTCATTAAAGTTTGGCTTGTAAAACTTACCAAGTTAAAGCCTATAACTTAGTGGCATGATGTGAAGTCAGAATATCATGTAACCAATACTTCTGTCTATTTCATCGGAAGGAGGAAGATTTAGAGAAAAGCAATTAATAGTAAAGTAGAATAATAGACTAGGCAAGTGAGTAGCCAGTGACTGAAAGTTCATATTGATACCTAAGCCCTGCCAGTCATCCTTATTTCTCTTAAGGTTTTTCTCTGTAGTAGAGCTCAAGTTCTAGATCCTTCTGTGTCCTCTGTGCTGGGAGTCTAAGTACATACCACTACCTGCAGTCTCACTTTACCCTTCATGTCCAAGCATTAACTTACATGACTAGGCTGTCTCATCTCAGATCAAAATTATAGGGCCTTGAGCAGGAGAGAGCTTCTCAGCCCATAATAGGGCAGTTTCCTTGAACAGAATTAAGCATTGGCAGGAAACAGTTTCCTGGTGGTTTGTTTGAGACAGCAGGGTGTTGCTGGCTGCTCAGACTCTCAGGGATCCACCTGTCTCTGCTCCCTAAGGTGTCAAGTGTTCTTGAGCAAGCAAGCCAGTGTGTGTACACAGGCTGGGTGCAGTAGAAAGGAACTGAGGCTAACAATCTGCTGTCTTTGCTCCTGTTTGACTCAGTTTTCCCATATCTGGACCAAGTCTTGTCCAAGTTTAACATTCCAGTTTGCAATATGAAGGTTTTTTTTCATGATTTCAGAATTTCCTGCAGAGTTGTGGTCTTGCTGAAGGCCCTCCTGAAACTGATATGCGATGTAGCAAGGGACACAAGTCTCACGACTGAGGCCACTAAGAGCACCCTGCTCCAGGAAGCCACAGACTGCCTGATTCTTCTGGACCATTGTTCTCAGGGGCAGGTGAAGGTAAGGCAAGACTCTGCAAGTCGGTTTCAGTGGGCCTCGTGCCTAGGTAACCCATGATTAATTGTAATTTAAGTACTTGTATGCCCAACCAAGTTTGGACATGAACATGGAGGGTGTTAGGCCCCTACCTCTGTACTCTCTAGTCTTGGACTGTTTGTCCGATACCTCACTCTATTTATTTTTGGTGGTATTTTTTTTATGTATAAAAAAATACATATTTTTATAGTATTCATTTAGAGCAAAAAAGATCAGATTAATACTGTAATTGAGATAACACAATGTTCCTATGGTAGGAGGGACACTTCTTGAGATGTTTGTCCATATTCTCGTGTGCATGTGCAGGCAAATGAATGTGACGGTATCATTCACACACCTTTGGGTTTTTTTTTTTAATATTTTTAATTGATGTAAAGGTGTCAGATCCCCTGCAACTGGATCTTCAGACAGTTGTGAGCTGCCATGTGGGTGCTGGGAATTGTACCCGGTCCTCTGGAAGAGCAGTGTTCTTAACCACTGAGCCATCTCTCCAGTCCCCACTTTTTAAAACAGATCTCACTGACACGGAACTCTTTGAGCAGGCTTGGCTGGTTGGTTGATGGGCCAAGTAGGCCCCAAGGATCTACCTGTTTCCCCCTCCCCATACTTAGGTTACAGGTGTGTGCTCCCACTGATGACATGGACTGAACCCAGGTCCGCATGCTCATCCCACTAAGCTATCTCCCCAGTTTCCAAATACTCAATTTACCAGCAGGAAATTCACTTTCATGTCCCACAAAATTCTCAGAACTACAGTTTATGGAATCTATAACATGTATTTATTTACAAGTAATTGAAAGACTAATTTCCCATTTTTATTACAGTAAGAATCTCTAAAGATTAAAGGAACATGAGAAGAAATTCATGCTCCAAAATATGTAGACTCAGGTGTGGTTTGCTTTACAGTTTATTCAAACATCTCACAGCTGCTCTTTACGTTTGTGCAGTTTTCCAGCCAGAGGTCCAGTTTGAGTTGTTTTGCTAGAATGAAGCAGGCTCTTAGAAGCCAGTGGGCTATGTACACGCATGGAACAGGTTTTAACTGACACCTCCTCTGGTAGAGGCACTTCCCTTAGTGCCATACACTCGAGTGTATGAGATAAGACAATGGGGAAACAGGTTTTACAAATTTACTGCTTGTTTGGTTTCATGTTTCAGGGTCTCCTGTCTAGAATTGTCCTGTCCTGTGAAGACAGCACAGTGGTGAGCTGCATCAGGAAAGTGCAGCAGTGCTCTGCAGGTGTCCCTGAGTGACACGTACCATGACCAACCAGCAAGGAAGGGTGTGGATGGACTTACGGAAAATCTATTTTTATACTAAACATTGTAAGTTTGAACTTTTGTTTCCTTCAGTTTATAAGAGAAACTGAACAAGGAAAAAAATATTGAAGCTGGGTGGTGGTAAGCCTTTAATCCCAGCACTCAGCAGGCAGAGGTGGATCTGGATTTGAGGCCAGCTTGGTATACAGAAAGAGTTACAGAACAGCCCAGACTACACAGAAAAACCCTGTCTCAAAAAACTAAAAAGGATAAAGAAACACTGACATTTCTAAGTAAAAATTGGGAAGGGAAAATTTATCACTTGTAATTTAGAACCATTTACACACAGTGTCAGTCCAGCTCCAGGGCTCAGGCTGTTACAAACAGCACGTGTTACAAAAATACTCTTTACACTGTAAGGCTCTCTCTTCACTCACTCCCTGAGTGACATAAATATTAGCAATATAAATACTGTATGAAATATAGCACAAAGGAGCACAATTGGAAGTGTTGACTTTTCAGGATAAAACGTGAAGGAAACTCATGTGGTTTTGGCTTTGGTTGTGGGCTCTGTCTCCTGCTCATACTCTATCTCCACATAGGCCCGTTTTTTCCGCAAAAGTCCTTTCAAGGGTGCTTTGCCTTTGTGTTTGGCCTTAAGGGCCTTCTCTTCCTCTTCTTCACTGGAGGAGTCCTCATCCTGTTCTTCGTCACTGCCAGCATCCAGTTTATCCATATCCTAATACGTGGAGACAGAAGTCAGACATGGGAGTGCACAATTTCTCCAGAATCTTCCCTGCTTCTGTGTTCAGGTCTTCCCTGCTCCCCACTTTTGTAGCAGCCCACAAAACATTCTTTATTCCACAGAGCTCACCTCAAAATCACTCAGGTCACTCTCATCTACATCATCGTCTTCTACAAACTCTCTTTTACCCACATCCTAAGATAAAACATAGTTACCAGGTTAGGGGGAAAAAAAAATGAAGATCCAGTTTAGACATGTAGTTTTACCTCTTCATAAATAAGTGAATCAGAGTCTACCAAATCCATTACTCTCAAGTTTAACATTTATGAATTAAAAAGAAAAATAAAGCCTATAGTTTATTGGCTGAACTCTGCTAAACCAGAATTAATCATCACATGATACAAAAGGTGGGTGGAGAACTGGAGAGATGGCTCAGAGGTTAAGAGCACTGGCTCTTCAGAGGTCCTGAGTTCAAGTCCTAGCAACCACAAGCTGGCTCACAGCCATCTGTAATGAGATATGATGCCCTCTTCTGACATGCAGGCAGAATACTGTATATATAACAAATCTCTAAAAAAAAATGGGGAAAATGCTGCCTCTGAATTACATGAGAACATGTCCTAAAGATTACTGCGTTTTAAAACAAGACAAACCATACTCACCTCTTCATCTTCCTCCTCATCTTCTTCTTCATCTTCAGAGTCACTCTCTGCTTCCTGTTTCTCAAGGGCCTTGTCGAAGGCATGGATGGGGAAGTTGTAGATGTCGCCATACTGAAGAATAAACATAGACTGCCTTTAACTGTTCCTGAGTATTACATTTTTCAAAGTTCCTCTGCCCAACAAGCATATTATTCATCGTCAGGCACTAAATAAGAAAACTGTGATGAACAATATCTCTATAGTTTCCAACCTATGTACAGTATATTTACAATGTTTAACAATCAGCAGTTAAATAGATAGCTTCTATGGAGAAGAGAGCCAAGTCATTTCAAATCTACTAGTTTATGAAACCACAACATTGGGACAAATCTAATTTTGCTTAGAAAGGGAAGTAACACATTTTAATCACCTTTCCATCTTTCTAAATGACACTGTTATTAGTCAAAAGACTGAGATACCTTTTAAAAAGGTTTTTAAGAACTTAAAGAACCTCAAAAGACTAGAGTAACACACAAAAGCAAACACTCTAGCCATTGAGACCGAGGACAGAGCTTGATAGGCAGAGTACTTATTTAGCACATACAAATTCCTAGGTTCAATTTCCAACATCATATACACCTCCATGGTGACCTCCCCATTCCAACCTGGTTGGAGGCAGGAAGATCAAGAAATTAAGATCATCTTTTGCTACATAATGAATGTGATGCTATCATGAGCTATAGTCTCAAAACAGCAAGATAAACTATAGGGAGGTACTGGAGTGAGTGAATGTCTGCTGATGACATGGTACGGCTATGCCAAGGACCCCAGAGCATAAGACCCTGGAAGAACGGCAAAGCTGTGTCCCAAGGTGAGGCTCAGAGAGGGATGGCAAAGCTGTCCTCTGGTCTGAGTGCACATGCTGATGTCTACTATAGCACCACCAACTCCCCCAACATTTATGGTCTGAAGAAGTCCCTACTACAAAGACTGCCCCTACTAAGATTTAGCTAAACCTGTCTCCTTGGTCCAGCTGTGTACCATAAACCCTGCGTCCTTATTTATCTGCATGTAATAAGCCTACTCCCTTGTTCAGCTGTGTGTAATAACTGCCTCCCTGTTCAACTCTATATATTAAACATGATAAGCTTCCAGGATGCTCAGGTTTCTCATCCAAGAGTTCAGTCCATCCAACCCCAGCTTTCTGCCTATCTTTTTGTTCTTTGCTGCCCGGAATCAGGTCTGGCCCTGGAGGCTATGCATGGATGGAGGGAAAACCTATGACTTCTATGTTTTTATACAGCACTGTTGAGCTTGGAAATAAGGGCAAATGGAAAAAAGTCTCACCAGGAAGACAGGCCTACATTGAATTTGTTTTATTCCATGGACAAATTGCCACGGGACAGCTATTTGTGACATGTTTAAAAATAAATGGATTACCTGGGCAGTGGTGGCACAAGCCTTTAATCCCAGTACTTGGAAGACAGAGGCAAGTAGATCTCTTTGAGTTTGGCTCCAGCCTGGTCTACAAAATGAGTTCCAGGACAACCAGGGAAACCACGTCTCAAAACAAAATCAAAAACAAAAAAACAACCCACCTAATAAACAAATAAAAATTTAAAAATGCATTTTCTGTATTTCCTAACATGGTGCTACTACTTAAGAAAACACATGCCAACACTACTAGCTTTCTCACCGTTTCTTGTTTCAGTCTTTCCAGTAATTCCTTCTCAATGGCATTGTCCAGCTGGGCAGCTATTAATGCTTTTTCCTATAAGAAAAAGTGCAGATCCATTACTCCATTAGGACTCATTTTTTAGCCTGCACAATAATTACCAGCTTTTAATAACAGTATGATGTGGTGTAGTTATTTCCTACCTGCCTCCATTAGTGAGGCTTTTGCCTCTCTAGCCAGACACATTTCTTCTTTCAAGAATTCCCATCTATAATTTGCATAAACATAACAACTAAAGAAAATAATTCCTATGACTTCAGCAATAGTATTCTGGATTTTTAACAAGTTCTTGATTGACAAACTGCACGTATATGCTTACATACATTTAAGAATGTCAAGAGGGGCTGGAGAGATGGTTCAGTTGGTAAAGTGCTTGACCTGTGACTTGACCAAGTAAGGACCTGAGTTTGGACTCCCAAGAATCCACACAGAAAGGCACATGATGGCACACACTAATAACTGTGTCAATAGCAACAAAGGAGGCAGATAGGTGGACCCCTGGAAGCTTGTGGGAAAGATCCTGGCCTACAGAGTTCAGGCCAATAAAAGCTCTCAAGAAAATAGGAGGAGGAGCTTGAGGACTGTCACTCAAGGCTGTGAGTGACATGCTATGCCATGCATGTGTGCTCTATGTACACTATAAATACCTAAGTACATTGAAAAAAGTGTCAGAAAATACTTTTGGTGGGAAGGAGGCCTCTGAATTCACATAGAAAAAGTGTACCTTTCTCTGCAATGTTTGCAAGAGCACCTGTTTGATAATTAGGGAATATAGAAAGACACTAGCTGGACTTGAATAAAAATTGGTGTTTAATTAGTGGAGAATTAAGAATTCAGTGCAGTCTCCAGTCATATAAGCTCTGTGTGGTGATACACACCTGGGGTGCTAAAGGAGGATCATGTTAGGCCAGTTTAGGTCACATAGTAAGAGGCTGTCTTGGACAGCAATGAAACAACAGATTAGAGATCTAAAGGTCCATGTGATTAGTCCTTAAAAGGACAAAAGGAAGCGAATGCCATTTCGTGAAGGTGAAAGCACCGTGAATGCCAAGAAGGAATGAGAACTGGAACTTGTCAGGACAGCTGATTCTGAGGAGGAAGCTCGACTCAACTCAGAAGTATCAGAGAGGAGGACAGAGACTACTCCGGACAAAAGCTGGAACTTCTGAAGCAGGCTGCTCTCTTCGTGCATGTTACCATCACCACCCTTTAGTAACCAAACAACCCAGTTTACTTCAGAATAGCTTAGCCCGAGACCAGAGCAGAGTGTTCCGTTCCTTGTTTTTTTTAACCAACAATCAAAACCTTTCAATTTTCTAAATAATATAACCAAAATAGCCATAAGGTTACTTACAGACAGGGTTTAAACTCGGCTGAAGATAATGTATGAGTCAGACAATGTCAAAATTCTAAATTCTGAAATGTCTGACAGGAATTTTAGATATGGAGTTATCTAAAATACCTTTTTACTGTTTTCCATTATATCCAAACACTCCAGAGTATCTGATTTTAGCCTTCATTGAAAATCATAATCTGAAGATATGAAAGTGACCCTATGTCACTGAAGATACACTCCCCAATTTGTGACTCATTATGATGAACCCCAGGCACCAACCCCTTTCTCACATGGAGATAGAGAAGCTATGTAAGTATCAGAACAGTGTTTACCTCTCTTCTTTTCTCCCTCCGCTCAACCTTCTTGCTCAAAGGAACAAGTTTCTTCCTAGTAGAAATCAAATACATTATATTAGAAAATTCAAGTTCATTCAAAAGATTAAAGAATTAGAATTGGTTTTCTATTGACACGTACACGCAAAGCTCTAGGTTTGCATGTGCATGTGAGCATGAACACACACACCTACAGTTGAATGGTATGAAACGCCAGGAGCCCAAGTGGTGGCTCATTCACATCAGTAACTTAGCTGAGGCAGAAGGATCACTGTGAATTAGAAGCTACATATTAAGTTCTAGGCCAGCATGTACTACAGGGTCAGAAGATTTGAACTTGCTCTGTAAACCAGGCTGGCCTTGAACTCACAGAGATCAGCCTGCCTCTGCTTCCCAAGTGATTAAAGTCATGCGCTGCCATGCCCAGCTACAGAAGTCAAATATTTTAACATGTGGGTTTTTCTTTCTTTTTTTTTAAATATTTATTTATTATGTATACAATGTTCTGTCTGTCTGTATGCTTGCTGGCCATAAGAGGGCACAAGATCTCATTACAGATGGCTGTGAGCCACCATGTGGTTGCTGGGAATTGAACTCAGGACCTCTGAAAGAGCAGTCAGTGCTCTAAACCTCTGAGCCATCTCTCCAGTCGTCCCCCTCCTTTTTCTTTTCTTTTCTTTTTTTTTTTTGGTTTGGTTTTTCGAGACAGGGTTTCTCTGTAGCTTTGGAGCCTATCCTGGAACTAGCTCTTGTATCCCAGGCTGGCCTCGAACTCACAGAGATCTGCCTCCCGAGTGCTGGGATTAAAGGCTTGCACCACCACTGCCCGGTTTTTAACATGTGTTTTAATGTAGTTATTTTTATTTTCTTTAGGTTCATTATACTAAGGTTAATGCTTCAGTGAACCAAGAAATGGGAATTTTCTGAAAAAGGTTCACGTAATTTTTAACATTCTCTGCTGATCTCCACGAAAAGGCCTCCATTTGGCACTCCTTCAGAACTATTAGTCCTGTGGATTCCATGTCATCTTTACCCTGGGTGTAGTTCACACTCCAGATAATCACATTTTTACATCATTTTGAAAGCTTTCATTTCAGCTTTTCTCAGGGACCAACACAGAAAAAATTCCAGGTAGGTAGGGTACACATCTTGTGTTTTAAAATCCTGCAGAGCCACTGGACACAGCCATATCCCAGTCACAGGTGAGTTTAACAGGAAGTGCTGCTTGTGACACGGTCTAGGAAAAGACTGAACGTAAATAAAGAAATGAACTTGGCCCTTACCGCCGCTTCAGTGTAAGTTTTCTAATTCGAATCAGGTACTGCGTAATCTTGGTAAACCTCTGCTTACATTTGTGTCGAATGAAGCGAGGCCAGTAAATTAAATTTTCATCTATTTGTTCCAATGCTTTCTCATAGTTTTTACTAAGTCGGACCTGTGGAACAGAAAAGGGAAACGAGGGGGAAGGTAAATCGTTAGGCCTTCATGTTAGTAATGACAGGGCATAAAGAAGATGGCTTCAATGTCTAGAGATGGCCACAGTGTCTTGAGCAACAGTTCCTGCAGTTTTCTCAGTGAGACTTACCCGCTCCCAGAGTCGCCGGGGAAAAGCTGCTCGTTCTATGACCTTCATATACAGGTAGCACTGTCCTAAGGATAAGTTAAACAGCCATGTTACTATTTACAGTCAAACTAAAAAGAACCTTTTATAAACTTTTGTGTGGTTTTCATACCTTTCTCTTCTTTAATGGTTGCATACTGACTGTTTGCCAGAGGGCAAGATGATCGATTGCACAGCCCAGTCAGACTATACTCATTTCTGCAAAAGCCCTGAGTCTTGGTTCTAGGATGAAAGGAAAGAAGTGTTTCCAACCAAGGGGGCAACTAAATACGTTTCAGTCTAGACTGCAATATACTCACCTTATTTTGAAAGAACAAAATTGTCTGTTTCCTAGTGTATTCCAGATAACCTGCAAGACAAAGTGAAAGCCCTTTTACTCTGACCCCAAAGGTTCTGTTTAATGTAAAAAGAGGCAGTGTTCTCCAGGCTGCAAATGGTGCTCACTGGTATAATTCTTCCCAGCATGTGCAAAGCCCTCAGTTAAGTCCAGCACCACTACTACCAAAATACAAACAAAAAAGGCTAGGGTCTTGTCATAGCACAGTGCTGCAGCGTCCAAATATAAAGGGAAAGAAAATAAGTGTTCTTTTAATAGGCCTGACTTGTTTCCTTTACACAGTAGTCTTGTTTTTGTTTTTGTTTAAAGCCCTAAATATGGCTAGGCGGTGGTGGTACATGACTTTAATCCCAGCATTTGGGAGGCAGAAGGCAGATCTCTGTAAATTAAAGGTCAGCCTGGTCTACAGGGCTTATTATTTAGCAACAGAATTTAATTAACAGTTGGCAACTATTTTCCCAGAATTTTCCCCAGTATATACATACATTCTACCATCTGTAGTATGTACCTGTGCATAGTGTTAAAAAGAGTCACATCACATATACCCGGTGACTTTTCTTTTTCACGTGTGTTCACTATTCACTGTCAAAGGCTGCACAGTACTAGATACTTAGACATGCATCCTCTACAACTTTATCCCTTTCACAGTACTAGATACTTAGACAGACATCCTACAACTTTATCCCTTTCACAGTACTAGATACTTAGACAGACATCCCCCAGCTTTATCCCTTTCACAGTACTAGATACTTAGACATGCATCCCACAACTGTATCCCTTTCACTGTCTCT